AGTAGAGAAGAGAGAGACGAAGTTGATGACATGGAAAGATCAACGCAGTGGGGATTGCAGTAGAAACCGTTTCACGTGTGTAAAGCAGATTTATGGGACGTCTGTGTCTCTGTCGTTTAGAATCAGGGTTAGAAATTAACATTTATGCCAGGGTGCAAACTGACCCCTGTAGGCAGTAAAACTGCTGCTTGCTGCTCCTTAATTTCGAACAGATAGAACTTTCTCATTCTGAGTAATTCCGTGAACGCATGTCATATATATTTAATTTATTGTTTTAAAACATGCCAAAGATGAGAACTCACGCGCTGTGAGTATATTTCTAGTGAAGACACCCAATGAACTGTTAATCAAAGTCACCCGTAGCAGCATTGTGGTGGCCAGTAATGTAAAAGTATTGTAACCATGGAAACCACATAGAGGAGTCTGCTTTATTATATTGCGTTGCGTTGCAATTTACATTTTCGTTTGTCCTCTCTTTAATCTAAGCACTGTAATATTCTAATACTACAAAAAATCACCGTTAAAGTGGGAGAAAACGCTTGTTCATCGAGTATGCTGTATATGTTGATTGCACGGTTGTAATTGTATATACTGCCAAAACTTGAAGTGTTCAAACATGTAGGACGATGGTTGTACGTGACAAGTGCATTGCGTCCCCTTAATGATGTTGAAGGCACACAGGTTTGCGGTGTTTACACGAGTGTACCCGGTTGTGCAGACAACAGAGGTCGAGTGGGAGTGCGGTGTATTAAATAGTTTGCTGTTAAACTAAACAATTTACTAGAGTTTACTAAGATTTTAAACAGATGCTTAGTAACAATTCTTTGAGAGCAGCAGGTAGCAGGCCCGTGTAATTCACACACACACAAAAGCACGCACGTACACACACATAAACTGCGCGGTACCACACACACACACACAGCCACACGCACACACACCACACACACACACACACACATTCACCACACACACACACACAAATTACCACACACGCAGCGCACACACACACACACACCACACACACGCATACACACACCGCACGAACACGCGCCACGCAGCGCACACACCACACACATTACACACACACGCACGCACACACACACACACACACCCACACACAATACACACAACGCACGCACGCACACACACACACACCTAACACACGACGCAACACACACGCACGCACCAACGCGCACGCACGCACGGCCTACACAGCGACCACAGCACATCACACACACACAGTACATCACACACGATCCACGCACGCATCTACGCGCACGCACGCACACACACACACACATTCCGTCACTGCGCTGCCGCGCGCGCGCTATCACACCACACACACATACGGCAGCAGCGTGCGCGCATACAACACACACGCTGGTCGCTTAGATCCTCCGTACGTATGAATGGACATGACTCAATACTAAACACCAATCAGTCACGATACTGAATACCTATAGTTCATCACGGACGAACAAAGCTCCCACCGTTGAAGCTATAATTGGAAGGGTATGTTCAGTTGTAGCTCTGAGTAACGTATAGCCCGGCGTACGGTGTTGCGCCAGGCCTGCTGCTGCCTTAGCAACGCCGTACGCGGGCTTAGTTACTAAGAGCTGAGTTCAGTCTGGGGCAAATATTGGCCGCCGACTGTGTCTTCCGCGATGAAATGTGAACAAGATTTATTTTTTGTAAACGGAGCAAGAAAGAAAACGGGTTTAATTTGAATTGCGAATGTGACCAAGGGCGTGGATTGAATGTTTAAATTTTGTCATGCGATAGTTTTTTAAAGGGGTTTCACGTGTAGTTCATGTTTTACTCACAAGCAAAACCCTTTGCGGAATAGATCTTACGTGGGGTCCGAGTTCAATACAATGGAAGTGGATGTGATGTTGAACGGTGTTGCGGTGAAAACAGAAATAAGCTCAAGGTTTGTTTGGTTTTTTATATATTGTCAATATGCTACATGATCTCTTAACGAACTGCCGGAACGTCAGCGAGTTACCTCTGTGTTGTTGTAATACTAGTTAATTATGTATAGATAATTAGGGTTGTGTCATCCGGTGATGCTGTGCTGCGATACTATTTTAGTCTTGCAAAGAGTTGGCAAATAGAGAACCTCTCGATGGATTCACTTGTGTCACTACTGAGTTTTTCTGATGCTGGAATTCAGAAGTTTATGACTGCAACATACATCTCATGTTTTAAACAGCGCTCGTTGGCATAACATGAATCACCATCACTCTAACACGAATGTACAATAATATCTTTTAGGGCCATAAATGGCCCTACCTTGTAGATAGTACTTTATGCGTCCATGTATTTGAGTATGTTTGCAGTCCACGTCTTTGAGTTTAGTTGCTAACAAACATACTTATCTCTCATTATTTACACCGTGTGTGCTTTGACATGACACCACCATTCACACGAATGCTAAATAATAAAATTAAACTGTCATAGTTTTTGTATTCTTCTTACAATTCACGCACGCCAGTAACATGGGGCAAACACCGATCTCTCATTGAAGTTCATATATATACTTTGAAATAAATAATGAACATAAACATAAAGATGCGATGTGATCAAATGCTTTTATAATCGCATTGTTGTGAGTCAGCAACGAGATAATTGGTGCATGATTGACACTTACAAATGATTCATAAACGATACAATTTCTCACGTACATAACCATGACAAATGTATAATACAAGAATACGTTATATTATATATATATAATATAGGATAATTACGAGATTAAGGAGCAATACCGGAATGTATTCCTATGCGGAGTCACGTGAAACTAACATGATACATGCTGCAATTTCAGCTTACATGAGAATGCATTAAGCCGAGTTGCAAAGGCTTTACACTGACTAACCTTTACGAAGGAATAATGTAATGTATTCGCATTCAGATCAATCACCGGGTTTTGCATAATATCACACCTCTAAAAGCGGGTGATACAGGATATATACGTATTCACGGATGTGGAATAATAATAGATAATTATTATTCACTCCTTACGTATAGCACGTGTGGTGCAAGTGAGGACACATCGATTGTTCTGGCAACACATCACAGCCAAGTTATTACAAGGAATAACATACTGCTGGAGTGATATGCACATGTCGTTGGTCGCAGATACCACTAGTAATATAATAATGAGCAAACAGGTCATCCTGAATTAATCCTAACACACTGAGGTATCATCTAAAGATTCTGGTCCCTCTAGAGGAGTAAAGAAAAAGTCTGGAAAGTCGTTAGGGAAAACAACCCTATGACTACATATACGATACCTCTGGGGGGATCATTTAGCTGCGCGTTGTGCATCACGTGATCACATGCCATTCGAGATTTGAAACACAACCCTATGACTAGCATTAGAGCGAAAATTTCTTGTCACATTGGCACTCGGGTCACAGGCGGGCTCCTGAGAATCGACTTGGACATGCGAGATATTTATAATCCATATATTCTCGTAAATAAACGACAAAGTTTCTAAATCGTATATGAACAAGAGACGCAGCGCTCTGGGCCTCATCTGAGGTCGTGATTGCTACGGTTCTACACGGGTAACAAGTTTGTAAGTTCGTTGTTGCGCGGTAGGGATGTGAACACCGCTTTGTTAGGCGCAGATGATTGCAGTTACGCTCAGTTGCGTACAACTATCTTTCAGCAATACTCTGCATCTGCATACCTCCAACCAATTGGTTGATACAAACCTCGCGTGCCTGAAACTCCTGTTTCGTATGTCGCTGATCCCTGATTACAACAATTTAGAAAAAATCATTGTTGTTATTAATTGTTCTTATTAAAATAGTGTTATCTGTAATAAATCAGGTCAATACTTTGCCGTTAATTGGGGATGAATAGGTTAAATGATAAAGATAGGAAAAAATACAGAAAAAACAGGTACTATAATAAAAAGGTCAAGATGGTGTAGATTCGATCCAACCGACCTTTGAGGCCGTGCCACGCCGCTGTGCTGTAGGCGTGTCGGCTATCAGGTTTATGTGATTGTGTGCTGGATTAGGGATTGTTGCCATGAATATGACACGCACTGTGACGTCAGTTTTGAGGGCAGTTCAGGAATCCAGTCGTTAACCCTTCCTCTTTAAGGGTCAAAAAGCGTTATCGAGACACTTACTCTTCGCACATCAGTGGAGCCACATTCATGGTCTTCAATAAAGGTGTAAAAAAATTGTAGCCGTCAGCACTGCAAACAAAAAAGGTGTTTTCACTCTGTCGTTAGGTCATGTATTCTCAGAAAATGTCCTGGTATCTGACCTTCACCCACTGCCTTTGGACCTGTTGACTCCAATTCGTCGCATGGTGATGGGCTCTTCCTTGCCGCATCACACTCTCGTTATACACCGGAATATTAAGAGCATAGGCGAGCCCGTTAAAGTTTGTGCCGCAAGTCGGGTATTTCCTCCTAAACCTTAAGTTAAGGGGCAATTTCCCTCTCGCGTTGACACATTTTGATCCTTTGGGATCCATGACCCCCAATTTGTCATCCTGAGTCCTTTTCACGACCCCCCCCCCCGACGCTCCGAATATCGTGAACGTAAGTCGAGCGGTCAAGATTTGTGCCCCATTGTTGACGGGATGGCCGGGACGGCGGAGACGGACGCACGCACGCACGGACAATCATGCGATTCCATTTTTAAAGGTTTAAGAGGTGTGAGGTTTTTACAGTCATCTTCGAAGTTCTCTTTCAAACCATCTCTTTCAAACCATCTGTTTACCTCCATCGACTAACCCATCTACCTGGAGCGATCAACAGGTAGCTCTGTCCAATCATCATTCCAGTAGGATGTTCTAAAAACAACGCTTAGCGACAAAGCGACGCAGAGTCAACGCCACGGCCCGTAAAACACGTACAGACCGGACGACGAACCGCACCTAGCAACGGTATCTAAGAGAGGCCGATCTCTTCGCTGCGGCGGACGATGCTCAGCCTCCTCATCCTCACTCTCGCAGCAGGAAGCATCGTCCTAGCAACGGGACGACGACGCCGGTGACGGAGACGACGCAGGCCTCCCGCGCTGTCTTCACGACGGTGGCGACACCTCGCAGCGGAATCGCGTGCGCGTCCGCGTACAGGGGACGCAGGCGTCCGCGCGGCGCCGCGAACGAGAGGTCGCACGAGAACGACACCTCGACCCTCTTCTCGACTCTCTCCGCGTCCGCGAAGCATGACACCTCCTCCGTCTGCCCCACGGCGTCGCCGTCGACGACGGTCGCCGCGGCGACGGCGCGCCCGACCTCGTCGTGCACGGTGAACGCGTCGCCGCGGCGCAGGCAGCAGACGACAAACGCGTAACCGGCGGTGGCGTTGTCACTGTAGAAACGCTCGACGTCGCCGCGGCAACCGAAGGAGAGGCGCTTGCCGTAGCCGCAGCCGACATGTGTCAGGAGACGTGGTTCACCGTCGAACTGCCAGAGGGCGCCGCCGAGGCAGCGGACGCGATAGCGGAATCCGGGCGTGATGCGAGGGTCGACGTACGTACCTGGATGAAACAATGGGAAGAGACTGTCGCTGAAACTCTATGGTTATTGTTAGGGTTAGGATTAGGGTTGGGGTTAGGATTAGGGTTAGTGTTAGGGTTCGGGTTAGGTTTAGTGTTGGGTTGGTATCGTAGTGGGGGTTGGGGTTGGACATGATTATATCAATAACTCTGGTTTTAACTGAGATGATCGAATGATTTACGGTTTTTATGACGACCGATTTCAATTTTTTGCTGAAACTCTGGTTTCAGAAACATCGATCGATCGATCTAAAATGTCGTGACTATTTCACGTCAATTAACTTTTACACTAGGTGTAAGCCACACCCATGCACACACAAACATAGTTTGCGTGGTATACAACTTAAATCATATTATACCCTAGGTGGCGCTAGTGGACGAATTCTCTTAGCAACCTGCTCTGGAACATTTATGTATCACTAAAAAAATGTAGATAAGAGTTTTTT